ATTTAACCCTTTCAGCTTGCTGTACTTGGTTTTAACCACACCTTCCTTTGCCTTTAAGCTTTGTATCTCATCTGGAAATGCTTCCCTTTGAACCTGCTTGACAATAGCAATTTCTGCGTCTTTTCTTTCCTCCAAGCTTGTTCCCTCATTGGTTCTTTGTTTCAACCTTTTGTGTTCCGCGACTCGTCTCTTCAATCTGGCAACAGCTTTCACTAATCTTGACCAGTCAGAGAACTTCTCAAAGCGCTCTAAATGTGATCTGCTCTCCTTTGCCTTTGTGTTAAACACTGAAGCCCTGCGGAGTTCAGGATCATCATCTTGTACTTCTATCTTGTATTTAGAAGCAGGTAGTTCATTTTGCCAGAGACATGTTGGTCCTGAGAACAAGTTGGATTTCCTTTCTTTAACCTTTGATCTGTTCACATAGTGAACTTCACCCTTTAGATTGAGAGCAGAGTCAACCTTTGGTTTCACTTGACGGACAACTATACGATGACTAACTCCTATTGCATCTCCATACTTGACACAGGGATTGCTATGACCAACAATGCTCCATCCAAGATCTGTGCGTTGAGCAAAGGGCTCATTGTCTTGACCAGACACAACTTCCCTTGGTAGAAAGGCTTGTGAGCAGTTGTAGCCAATAAGCAGGCCTACCTCACAGTCCTGTAGGGGTGCTATGTCATACTTCAGGTGCTCTAGGTGGGACCAAGCCTCTGCAGTTTTGTCAGTTGGTATGTGAGCTCTGTTGGCAGGAATAAAATCGCGTGTGTATGCTGGTGGTAAATTGATTATTTTATTTGAGTAGAAACCCCGAACTCGTAAATTATTTACTCGTTGAGACCTTACTGTAGTAGTTTGTGATGTCATTGTAGAAAGCTTCAACTTCACTTGTTCCTTGGGTGCCTCCAAAGAGTCAGCTGCATCGCTTAGCACAAATGTTGTGTCACTTTGAGAATCTAGTAGTGCATAAACAAGCACTTCCGGAACTGGCTGTGAAGCATAGGAAAGCCAAACTGGAATTATTGCAGCTGTTTGGAAAGTAGCTTCAATTTGATTGACCTTGAAGGTAGAAGCTGTGACAATGTCTCTTGCTAGCCTTGTTTGTGGGTTGACTTTATTATTTCCTTGAGTAAAAGTTTCATGAACTTGACTTTGCTTAACTTGTGCTGCCCTTTGTTCTCTTTTGTCTCGCTCTTCATGCAGACAAGTAGGATGTTGCTTATTGCATATATTACAAACACTCCTACAGTTGCAGCTCTTTGAGAAATGACCTGAGTTGAGGCATCCAAAACACAACTTTTCAGCCTTGACAAATTTAACTCTGTCTGAGACTTCATCTTGCATAAACTTTCTGCATGTGTGCAAAGTATGTCCATGCTTCTTACAAAAAACACATATGTTGATAGTTTCTTCATTAGAACGTGTGACTAATGTTTTGACTTTGACATTTTGTTGTTTGGATTTATCACTTAGCTTTAATGATTGCAATGATGTTATTGGATTACAGGCAATTTTTGATTCTCTGGTCAGAAATCTTACAAACTGACTGAAAGAAGGGAATTGGCCATTCTCCTCTTCCATTTCCATCACTTTTCGGTTCCATCTTGCAGTTAACCAATCAGGTAACTTTGCCAGAATCTTTCTGTTTTCACTGCAGTCATTTAGGATCTCCAGTGCCTTGATATGAGCCATGGCGGTTTCGCAGCTCCGTAGAAAATCAGCAAACTCTCTTAGATCGGTGCTGTCTTTAGGTCCAATCTTGGCCCATGCTTGAAGTTTATCCCTATATGCTGTTGCAACTGTAAATGGGTTTCCATATCTCTCCTCCAGGATCTCCCACGCTGAAACATAGGCAGACTCGGTTCCAAGCAGGAAATAACCATCTAGTGCGTTTTTAACTTGTCCACCAACATATTTACGAAGGTAGTATATCTTTTCTTTATTCTGAATATTCTTTTGATCAATCAAGGTTTGGAACGACAGCTTCCAATCACTGTATTTCAACGGATCCCCGCTGAATATTGAAGGTTCGGGTAGTGGAATTCTGTTTGCATTTAAAGCATCTGCAAGTAGCTTAACTAAACCTGCAGTGTCTTGGTTTGAGGAAGAACTCAGAGGTTGTTGTGGAACAAGGGGTATAGATGATTGTTGACAGCTTGTTTGACTTGATGGCTTAACATGTACTGCCATCTTATGGCTTATAGGTCGCTTGACCCCTTTCTTAATGTCAGATCCTTGATCGTATACCTGCATTCTTGCCTGTGCAGCGCTGAGCTCTTTCATGGTTTCTAGATGGTTGATTCTCCTTCGTTTCTCTTCTAGAGCCATTTGTAGAGCTGTGTGTTCTTCTTCTACTTTAGCTGTCATTGTAGCTTCTTCCTCTTCTTTCTTTTTTCTCCTCCTCACCTCTTCTTCCTCTTGCTCTAAGCGCCGCTGTTTAGCTGCTGCCTCTTGAGCTGCTATCCTCTTCTTGGCTTCTGCTTCCAGGCGATGTAATTCCAACTGTTCTCTTTCTTGTTCCTTTAACACTTTTAGAACAGCTTGGCTTGCTGCAGCGTCCGCAGCTGCTTCTTGCCTCTTTACTGAAGAAGTTTTTGAATGCTCAGAGGTGGCGCTCTTCATGACGGAGGTGATGGATTCTGTTTCACTTTTACTTGTGCTCCAAAAGGAGCCAGCTTCTGGCCAAACCTGCTCCTCTTCCTGCGCTTGTCCTTCCAGGTGACGTGAAGCTTTAGAAAGGATGAAGTTTGAAATCTCCACACACAAATCTACTCTTCTCCGTGTTTCTTGATCTGGAGTTGAGAGTTTGCGCAGATCTTCATAAACACGCTGGATGTCGGCACAAAGCCCTTTAACCTCCCCCAAGATATCATTAAGTAGACCCTCTGATAAAGGCTCTGAGGACTGTTTTGACGAATGTTTAAAGAATTTAACATGTGCTTTCCATTTTTTGTAAATGTAGTTAAATCTTTGTGTAAGAGCTTTAATTTTCTCTTCTTGTAGTGCCTTGCCCTTCTCTGTTAGAGTACGTTGGCGTGCCCCACGTCTGAGCAGCTGCTCTTCCTCTCGCAGTGGCTCTGCACTATCTTCATCCTCATCTGCAGGCTCATTTCTTTCTGACATGGCTGAACAATTATCTAGCTAGGAAATGTTGATTTTAAGAATGAAATAAACTTGCATAGAATTTCAAACTCAATTGTTACACTCTACTGAAACACCTTGACCTTTCAAGTATTAAATATGCAACAAATTACATTTCCTTTGACCTTTGGATAACATGCAACAATAAAGCAAGTTTCAGTTCAATATGTACTCAAACAAATCACTGGTAACATCAATTTGGATCAGCAATCTTTTCATCAACCAAGTTTCTTGTTGCAAAAGAGTCTTCCACCAAAAGTCTTTATTGTCTTCTTCAATTATGTGTGAATAGGCCACTTATCTGCCAGTCCATGCACTGTTGTCCAAGAGATGAAGATCATCTGGTCCTTGTTACTTCACTGGCGTTTGCTGACAACAGACGAGTTTCACTATGATTCCCTCCAAGCAACACAGACGCAAGTGATTTCTTTTACGGGTTTATTGGACGTCTTTTCATTGTGGACCTCTTCTGTCCTCCTTTCTTTAGACCTCTCTTAAACCGTGAAACTAAATACAGGATAGTACAATTAAAACATATACAATAATGTGCAATAAAATAAAGACAAATAAATACCTCGTTGGCTGTTTGCTTAAAACACAAAGGGAATCCATCTTCCTTTAAGTCCTTTTACTAGTTTCCTTTAAGTCCTTTTACTAGTTAGTTCTTTAGCAGTCCATTAGCTGTCTGCTTGTTAGCACTTCATCCAGGTTCTGTGTTCCTCACACCTGGCTTGTATCCATCAAATCAAGGGTGTGGCTGGCAGAGCAGCTCATGTCGCTTTTCAAAATAAAATTACAGGAAACACAACTAACCCAGTGTCTTACAAATGGGAAAATAAATAAATGAAGAAATAAACAGCAACTGCAGTTACAAGCACTGTTTCCCTCCTTTACTGCCAGATTGATGGCCTTCAGCTTAAATGCAGCATCATATGAACTCATACGTGTAGTTACCATGATGAGGGGGTATGGATGTGAAAAAAATTCTTCGTGGTGCCGGCTGCTTGCATGTGCTAAATTAAAATGAGCACTTTCCTCGATTTCCACTTTTGACTTCCACCTGTTTCACTTCCTGTTAAAGCGCCCCCTAGTGGCAGGTGAAGGAAAATCTTCAGTAAAGCCGCACCTCATTATAAGCCACAGGGTTCAAAGCGTGGGGAAAAAGTAGCGGCTTATAGTCCGGAAAATACGGTACTCGGATTAAGCTCATGACCACTTTGTGCTTCTTTCTAGGGTCCCACTGGAAAACCGGGTTTACCAGGAATGCCTGGAGCGGACGGCCCTCCTGTAAGTTTCCCTTTTAAAATATTAAATATGATTTTATGTATTTTTATTTGTCCAGAGACTCAAGCCCCATTTTCTGTTCTCAGGGTCACCCAGGAAAGGAGGGTCCGTCAGGCACTAAAGGAAACCAGGTAGGTGTCGATTTAAACCACCTAATCTGTTTCATCCTAAACTTTTTTCTGTGTGTATTTAGAATAATTAGAGTAGATCTTTGTGGTTTTAGTTGTCTTATGCTTCTAACTCATCTTCCTGATCATCTCCAGGGTCCCAACGGTCCTCAAGGAGCCATCGGCTATCCTGGCCCTCGTGGCATCAAGGTCGGAACATTTATTTAATATTTTATCAAAATGTTCATAGATACCAACACATTTTCTGTTCATGTCACTTAATTATGAGTGGCTGCCGATATCCAATACTTTAAAAATGCATTAAAATAAGAAAACGGGGGAACACACCTGAGTTGTGCTCACCAGAGGTGGTCAGACTGCCGTGAGACCACATGCTGATGCGGTTGGCCCTGGGTTCCTCCTAATGTGAGACAATGTTGGACCCCATGGCTAAAGTGTGTCAGCAGTTTCTGCAAGAGCAAGGCATTGATGCTATAGACTGCTCCGCCCGTTTCCCAGACCCGAGTCCAGTTGAACACATCTAGGACATCATGTCTCGCTCCATCCACCAACACCACGTTGCACCACAGACAGTCCAGGAGCTGGCAGATGTTTTAGTCCAGGTAGCAGCAGTAGCTCAGGAGGTTGAGGGGGTTGTCCAGTTATCAGAAGGTTGTAGCGGTGTGGATTGACTTCGTATTTATTAAATGATCAATAAGATGTGGTGTTTCATATAAATATGAAATATCAGTCTGATTGATCTTTGAATTAACGTTCCTTTAGGTTCTTTGACTCTTCAGGGAACACACACTTCGTATTCATTCAGACAGAGTCAAGGATATAGTTTATAAAAATGAGTTTAATTGTATTTTCTAAACTAATGATTAAACATGACAAAGTATGGATGAGATGATGGTTGTACAGGATAACAGATGATGAATGAAATGGTGGAATATGAGCTACATGTTTCAGATGTCTGAGTTTTAAAATCAGTTTGGCTGTATGGTTTAATAAGCTAGATTGTTCATAAAACCATCCGATGCCATTTGTGCCGAGTCTACGCACCCTTGTATGAAGGTCCACGTGAGATCCAGGGTGTCAAGAGGTCAGGATGGAGACCTCCGAGTAGGGCTGCTCAAATAATCGATTTTTAATCCCAATTATGATCTGAGTTTTGAACAATTATAAAAACAAAACAAGCCGATTATTTGCTCCTCCCACTTGCACTGCCCTGAGTTGCAAATGAAGCGCTCCTCCCACAGTGTTGCCAACTTAGCGACTTTGACGCTATTTCTAGTAGCTTTTCAGACCCCCGTCTTGACTTTTTAAATCGTAAAAATACCTAGCGAACACCTCAGAAACATCTCTGGTAACCCTTAGCTACTTTCTAGACAACTGTCGTTGACATTTCCTGCAGGTTAGCTAAACACTCCGCCTGCGCTCCGGACCGTTCTTCAGGACATTAGGAAAGGGAATGATGTAGTGATGTGTCAGTCGCTAAAGAAACGGCTCTTAGAGCTGGTTCCCTGTTGGATTAAACAGAGTGAGTGACACACACCGTAACTGCGGGCTCCTGAGCTGCTAAAAACAGCTAAATGTGTGCGTGCTAAACACACGTACAGCTTGCCCATGATTGCTGTGAAACCGGGTTGGGGGGTGGGGGGTGCAGCTGTGGTTGGGACAATTATTACATTCACTGATGGACTTGTAAATACATAGTTTATAAATAAGGTAGAAATAAGTTCCTCACGCTGATAAATAATAACTAATCTCTCTGAGGACACGGTGCTAGTGCACGCTCCTACAGCACCTTGACATGACTAAATAAATGTTATACAACATTTTATGAACATCAATTTATTTGCATTTATTATGAATGCTTCTGTATAATTCTTGCTGTCAATATTTGTAAGATATTGGTATTTGGGTCTGTACTGGTTAGACTTAAATGAGTTAAACCAAGGTCTACAGCCCTTGGGTCATAAACTATGAGCTATAAGTATATTGGTCTTTTTATACTGGGAATCAGGAGTTATTTTAGTGATCATCTTGTTTCTTATTTATTTTTGTCCTGATTGTGCCCTGAGCAATTTTATGACTGAACAAAAACAAATAAAATCTAAATAAATTGAAAAATCATCTTAAATAATCGAGATCTCTATTTCAGTCACAATAATCGTGATTATTGTTTTTGCCATAATCGAGCAGCCCTACCTCCGAGCATGACCCATCTAGTCTGAGATACCTTCAGGTGACGGCAGGAAGCTGGAGTGTCTATTTTGCATCTGAGGCTGTTGTGTCTGATGTCACTTGCAAGCTTTGCAGAGCAATGTTTTGACCTGAGGTCAGATAAGAGGGTGGTCCCAAATGCTTGCTCACTGGTCGGCCTAAACCGAGTGAACTCTGAAGAACTAACTAGATCAGGAAGTGATCCTTGTCTATATCAAATGTTTACAAATCAGAATTTGACACGTTTAAAGGCGTTGCCAGACAGATGTGATGCATCCCTGGATGTGTGATGCAGTTTGTGTCTACAAGTAAATTTCTGGTAATTTTTGATGAAATATTTGACCTTTTGGTAAGTTACAAGGTTCAATCCTCGCTCCCACCAGAGAATGCTGCTGTTGTGTCCCTGGGCAAGACCCCTAACCCGCCTTGCTTGATGGTGGTGGTTGGAGAGACTGGTGGTGCCAGTGTGTGGCAGTCTCTGCTGTCAATGCGCCCCAGGGCAGCTGTGGCTACAATATAGCTCATCATCACCAGCGTGTGAATGACCGATTATGTTGTGAGGTTGTAGAACCCTGTGAGGAGATCCCTCAGGAGACCATCCTCTACCTCATCAGGAGCATGCCCAAGAGTTGTAGAGATCGTACAAACGTGGAGGCCACACCCACTACTGAGCCTCATTTTCTTTTGTTTTAAGGACGTGACATCAAAGCTGGACCAGCCTGTTGTTTTTCCACTTTTATTTTGAGTACGACTCCAAATCCAAACCTCCGTGGGTTACGTTTGATTTCCATTCATAATTTTTGTGTTTGTTGTCGGCACGTTCAGCTTCAGATCTAGTCTTATTTTTGTGTTACCTTTATTTTTTGAGCAGTGTATTAACTCATATACTGCCAATGATGACAAAAGTCAACATTTTAAATCCAACCGTTCACTGCCATGTTTTTACTGTGTGGGCGTCGGACGAGCCCCCGCACCGTGAGAACAAACATCTCGGCTCTAAAGCCGATCTTCATCCGCGTACGTCACGTGATCAGGAAGCAGAACATCCAGGTGTTAGGAGATCGTTTTGGGCCGCTGCTGTAAAAAAAAAAAAGTGAGGAGCGAACTGGAAAAGCTTCTGCCGATCACAATTCAACAACGGATTATGAAAGAACGGATAACGGTCGAAACGCGCGGACTCTTCCTGATGTAAGAGGTGGGTCTCCGCTTTGTTTTGGCGTCGACATCATCCTAGCGCGCAACGTTCTGTGACTCTTAAAAAATGGCGAGAAACGCTGGCAGCGAATGAGTTAATGATATATTTTAAAGTTTTTTCATGTCATATTTAAAAAGATTAAACCACCAAACATTTTGTTTTGATTGCAGGGAGTGCAAGGAATCCGCGGTCTAAAGGGTCACAAAGGAGAGAAGGTAACTCCTCCGTTACCGCTTAAAATCAGTCATGTGAAATGTCCTAAATATCCTCGATTGACAGATAACTGTTTTTGTTTGTAGGGAGAAGATGGCTTCCCAGGAATTAAGGGGGATTTTGGCATCAAGGGAGAGAGGGTAAAATAAATGATAGCTAATAAGTTTGTGGTGGATAAGATTAGATGATGTTTCAGTCCTGTTTCATGTTTGCTTTATTGTGACTGTTGTTATCTGATGTTCCTCACTGGTAGGGTGAGATTGGAGTTTCAGGGCCCAGAGGAGAAGATGGCCCAGAGGGACCAAAGGGTCGTGTTGGACCTCCTGGAGAACTCGGACCAATTGGGCTTGCTGGAGAGAAGGTACGACCGTTTAAATCAGAGAAGAATATAAAGATGAGCTCACGGTTGTACTTCCTTTTGTGGTTTATGGAAAAAAGGGTGACATTTTTTACTTTGTGGCATTTTAATTAGTTTTAAAAGAGGATGTTACATAATATAGGACTTCTGGTTTAATGTCACGGGCGTGCGTTGTGCTGATTGCAGTTCCTCTAACGACCACACGTGCGCGCTGCAGCTTTAAATCAAAAATAACTTTAGGCCCTAGGCCTTTTTTCTTTGGGCCCTGGCGCCTCCCAATCAGGGGCCTTTGGAGTTTCATGTCCCAAGTGTCAGTGGTTGTTTGCATTACCCGAGCACAGCTACAGCTACAATCAAAACAGTCTAGATTGTAAACAAAGCTCTTTTTGGTTTCTGATACATTAAGATAAAATAATACTTGAACTTTATTTTAGAAGAGCTGCCCTGTGTGAAAGTGCTGACAGGATGGAGGTTGTGAGTTCAAATTCCATTTAGAAAATTTAGTCAATTGTTTTATTTATTCCAGGGATCCTCAACTACATTTGTTCAAGTTTTTTTTTTTTCAGCAGAGACCAGAGAAGGCCAGATGCTCTTCTAAAATAAAGTTCAAACATCATTGTTTCTTAATTTATTACAATTTAAAATGGCCTTGTTTCCCATCTGAGCTGTTTGATTGTGGTTGTAGTTGTTTGGAGAATGTGGACAGTTGTAGATGTCTGGGACATGAAACTGTAGAGGCCCCCAGTTGGGGGGTGTTAGGGTTTAACAGGTTAAACAGGAACATTAAAGGTAGATAAATATTGATTAGTTTTATATGGTGATGTATATCAGTATCAACAGATGTGGAAAATAAGATAAGAATATGTCGCCCACCCCTGTTCTAAATGTTTATTTTAGCTTTATTAAACTAAACATGTTTCCTCTAAATTTACTGCAGGACACAATAACACAACTACAGCTTCTGAGAGTAAAACTAGCTGCTTGTCTCCTTTTCTACCTAAACATTTACCTGAAACCCGCTAATATACTTTTTGTGCATTTTATGACATCGTTGACATTTTTCCAGGGTAAACTTGGTGTACCTGGACTTCCTGGATACCCTGGAAGACAAGGACCCAAGGTAAATAAACACTTGTACATCAGAAGTTAGTTAATGTTTTCTATAATTACTGATATAAAGATGTTTGTTTTTAGGGATCTCTTGGATTCCCTGGATTTCCTGGTTCTAATGGAGAGAAGGGAACGCGGGTGAGCTGTTATACTTGTTATCAAAGCAGGAGTTACCTTCCTGAAACATTAAAACGAGTGATGATTTTACCCAGACGTAGTCGTGCTTTATTAGTTTATAACATGTTTTCTTTTTTAAATCAGGGTGTTTCTGGAAAACAAGGACCAAGAGGACAAAGAGGACCAACGGTAAAGTTCTCATTTACTCAGAGCTCCTAGTCAGACCAGAGGAACTAAACAGAAGCTGATTTGTGTCGACATCATTTAGCACCAGTGCAGTTACAATTATAACCACTGGGGGTCAGCAGAGACTACCTTTGGTCAGTAACAGTTTAGGTGGTGTTGCACTGTGCTTACAATGATTCAATTCAAGTTTATTTATGAAGCGCCAAATCACGACCAGAGTCGTCTCAAGGACCTTCACACAGTAAACATTCCAATCCAGGTCAGTTCATTAAGCCAATCAGAAAAAAGTTTCCTATATAAGGAACCCAGCAGGTTCTAGTGACTAGTGTCAGTGACTTTACAGCAATCCTCATACTAAGCAAGCATGCAACGACAGTGGAGAGGAAAACTCCCTTTTAACAGGAAGAAACCTCCAGAGGATCCTGGCTCAGTGTAAGCAGCCATCCTCCACGACTCACTGGGGATCGAGAAGACAGAGCAGACACACACACAATGGTTACATTGTGGTTTCTTAGTAAATATTCTATTTGGTGAGGGATAAACTTTATTGTATTTCTCCTAGTGAATCTATAATAAAGCGGGCAAACTAGTAGTAGCACATCATGGTTTAATGTGTTAATTTGGTTGCATTAATATATATTTTTTTCTGGATCAGGAAATCTATTTTAACTCTTGTCTGTGATCACCAGGGTCCTCGAGGGCAGAGAGGACCGAGGGGATCAACAGGAAAACTAGGAGCAAAGGTTTGTCTAAACATCGAAACACCCAGGCTTAGCAACGTTCTCCAAATGTACGCTTTTCCCTTTTATCAAATCTTCATATGAATAATTTCTTATTTATACAATAATCTAAAAGTATTTTTGTGTGTCAGACAGACCTAAAATATTATATTTCCTCATAGGGAACGTCTGGAAGTGACGGCCCTCCTGGTCCTCCTGGAGAGAGGGTGAGTTCTTATTTGCTGCTACAGGAAATCATGAAACGTTTTAATTAGGTTATAGTTTATGTTCTAATTTTATACGATGTCATGGTCTGATCAGGGATTACCCGGACCTCAAGGAGCCAACGGCTTCCCCGGACCAAAGGGACCTCCAGTAAGTCTGGTTTCTGCTTTTTGCTGCTGAAGACTTTTAGGTTATTGTTTTGAAATGGGAGCTGAAGTTTTTGGGGAATTAAGGTAAACTAATACTTCACAGGGACCACCAGGAAAGGACGGACTGCCTGGACATCCTGGACAGAGAGGAGAAGTCGTAAGTTTGTAGATAAACTTAGTTTAAGGTGTTCTGCTGCATCTTTAGGTTCACCAAGTCTTCTTCTACAGGGGTTCCAAGGTAAAGTGGGTCCACCTGGGCCTCCTGGAGTTGTAGGACCTCAGGTGGGTTAATCCATCCGGTTCCATCATTTCACAGCTTTTGCAACAACTCAGTCATATTTAGTCTTTTCCCTCCATCCTCCTAGGGTCCATCAGGTGAAACGGGCCCCATGGGTGAGCGTGGGCACCCTGGACCTCCAGGTCCTCCAGGAGAGCAGGGACTTTCTGGTCCGTCAGGAAAAGAGGGCACCAAGGGAGACCCCGGACCTCCAGGAGGCCCTGGTAAAGATGGGCCTCCTGGTCTGAGAGGATTCCCTGGAGAGAGAGGACTTCCTGGAACCCCTGTGAGTGAAACGAGTTCAGACCATCAGAGTTTGATGCTTTATGTTTCTCTAGAGGGTTTAGTGGAGCTCAGGTGAAACCGTGATGAGATCTTTTGATGTTTCCTTCCAGGGTGGTGGAGGACTGAAGGGAAGCGAAGGACCTGCTGGACCTCCGGGACCTGCTGTATGTTTTGAACAATCTTATGAAACTTAGGCTTCGTTAGGGACTTTTTTGTCCATTTGGGCAGTTTTTTGTTTTTCGTTTTGACACCATTTCACCACCGTTTGTGCATACGGTAAAAAATGTTGTCGCAAAACCGCTCTCTGGACAAATTTGGAATTTTTAAAATAGACCAAGGGAACACTATGAAAGAAACACTTGAGACTTTAGAGGACAAAAACAGCTGCTTGTAATAGTGGCTATAAAAAAAATTACTTTTTTTTCACACATCTGTTGAACAACTTCAGCCCTGCTCAAACATTAAAAAAAATTCAGTCATTTTGAGGCTTTTAACCCTTGAAATGCCAGTTTAAATACTCAGTCATTGATGTAATTTATGAAGAAGAAAAAAACACTAAAACTGAGTTATTTTCTAAAAGACATTTTTTTTGCCTGGGGGTGTTTAGTTCCAATCAGTCTTGATTATGTTATGAAATATCTAAAATTTTGAATTTTTTGCATTTATAGTTTTTCCATAGCAACAGATTTAAAATCCACTATACACTCGAGCCATTAGAGGCAAAAACGTCCCATTGACTTCAATGCAAACCACAGTTTTTGATCCTGCATCATCTGCAGCAAGTAATCATGCTTTCTGTGATGTTATGGTTTCATTTTGGACAAAAGTAGTCAAATTTATGATTTTTACTGTTCACCACCAAATTCTGTCATTTCTCCATACGTTGCCCAGGCGAGAAAGCTAAAAACCCTTACAAGCGGACGTTTTTGCCCTCTAATGACTCTTTTGTATGAAAGTTAAAGTGAAGCCTGAGGGTTAAGGTCGTTTCTGTCAGTCAGGCTGATGTTGATGTCAGAAGACCCAATCAAAGGTAGAAGTACTCGCTCACTGTTAAGTGTACCAACATGTGTACTTTCTAGGGTTCTCCTGGTGAGAGAGGTTCTGCTGGAACCGCTGGACCTGTGGGACCTCCTGGCAGACCAGGTCCTCAAGGACCACCAGGACAAGCTGGAGAGAAGGGCGTTCCAGTGAGTTATCAGGACGTTTTTAATCAGTAACACAAACCTAAAATATATCCTTTAACTCGGCGTGGCGAGCTAAAGACGGAATAACTTCAGATGTTCTCCTTTACAGGGCGAGAAAGGCCCCATTGGCCCAGCAGGGCGGGATGGAGTCCAGGGTCCAGTGGGTCTGCCCGGCCCTGCTGGATCACCCGGAGTACCTGGAGAGGATGGAGATAAGGTGAGTAACTCCACATGACCGTCCCAAGACTTTAGTCACAGTCGACACAAAACCGACTTCTACATTATTTTAGTTATGGGACATTTTAGATCCTAATTATAGATATTCCTTATTAAATCCTTTACGATGTTCATTATGTCCTCTTTTTAAATATTAAACGAGGTTCCTTTTGCTTCGGACATGAAGGTGTTTCTAGTTACCTTTACATGTTTCGACCGTCGTCTGCGGTCTTCTTCAGAAGTGTCACAGGTGTTTGTGTGACGCGTCTATCAGCTGTTCTTCTGGTGGGCGTGGCCATCCCGGATCTGTCAGATCCGCCGGGTCGGTCACGCCCACCTCCGCTGGCTGGTCTTTGGAGAAGGGAATCCCAGGTGCGAGACAGCTGATAGGCCCCGTTTCCTTATTTCTGTTGCCTCACAAGGACAACAAAAAAAAAAGCAGAGGAGCAAACCCTCAAGTCAGCCATGTCAGATCGTTGCAAACGAAATAATCACATCATGGACTGGGATCAAGGGAAAATTATCAACACCGAGAACAACCGGTTCAAACGTTGGGTCAGGGAGGCAATAGAAATAAGGAAACGGGAGCATGAACAGAGACGAGGGAGCCTATCAGCTGTCTTGCACCTGGGATTCCCTTCTCCAAAGACCAGCCCGCTCCGGGTTGGCCACGCCCACCGGAAGAACAGCTGATAAAGACGCGTCACACAAACATCTGTGAGACTTCTGAAGAAGACTGCAGACAACGGTCGAAACTAGAAACACCTTCATGTCCGAAGCAAAAAGAACCTCCTCTAATATTCCTCATTAAATATTCTAAATGAACGTGCATCTATTATCCTGACCAATAATAGTCGTATGTGCTCAAACTTTGATAAAACGTGTCTTCAGGGTGAAGTTGGAGAACACGGTCAGAAGGGAGCCAAGGGGGGGAAAGGAGAGCATGTGAGTGACTTAGTGAAGCCCTCGTGTGTCGTATTATTATTAATAATAATATTCATGTTTTAAAGCTAAAATGTGTGTTCTCATGTTAGGGTCCTCCTGGTCCACCTGGCCCAAACGGTCCAGTTGGCCAACCCGGTCCTGCTGTGAGTAGAAACAGATCAAAATGCTGATTTGGTGCTTGGATGTGGGCTGCATACCATTTCTTATCTCCTCTGTGGGGCAGGGGGCAGATGGAGAGCTGGGACCAAGGGGGCAGCAGGGACCTTTTGGAGCTAAAGGTGACGAAGGAACTCGAGGATTCCCGGGAGCTCCGGGACCTATCGGACTTCAGGTGAAAGAAGAAAAACCAATAAACAGTTTTCTGTTGGAGTCGCTCGTGTTTAGGTTCCTGAGCTAAGCTGCTAACCAGTTTTTGGTTAAACTTCTTCTGGTCTACAGGGCCTGCCTGGACCATCGGGTGAGAAGGGAGAGACTGGAGACGTTGGGCCATTGGTGAGCTTAAAACAACTGGAGATGTGGCTTCTTTCTTCTACAGCAATAAAACTTTTTTATGTCTCCAGGGTCCTCCTGGACCTCCGGGACCCCGCGGACCTGCTGGACCCAACGGAGCCGACGTGAGTGCTTGGAGCTCTTCTAGTTGCTTCTGTAATTTTTACCAAGTCAGGTCTGTTAGTAGGAATTTTGTCTCTCATTACATTTGTTTCATGGTTGCGTTTCAGGGACCTCAAGGTCCTCCTGGTGGTTTGGGTAATCCTGGACCTCTTGGAGAGAAGGTGCAGCATTGGAGGATTTTCCTGCATGACTTTAATGGTCTCTCATAAAATAGCTGCTATAAGACATTCAGTGTTTGCTCCACAGGGAGAGCCTGGTGAGGCGGGAGCACCTGGAGTTGTTGGAGAACCAGGAAAGAAGGTGAGTACCTGAGTGAGCCAAAGTCTTCTGATGCCCCGCTGACTGGTTAGCTAACAGCCGTGTTCTCGTTGTCAGGGTCTTCGTGGAGAACGCGGAGAGAAGGGAGAAGCTGGACAACCTGGAACTGCTGGACCTGCTGGAGGACGAGGACGACCTGGAGATGATGGACCCAAAGGAAACCCAGTAAGACGCAGTGAAGCAGTTCTTCTACCATCCAGACACCCAGACCTGTCACTTATCGTGACTGGTTTTGTAATTTCAGGGCCCAGTTGGTTCCCCTGGAGATCCTGGTGCTCCTGGTGAGGTTGGACCCAGAGTAAGTGTCTTTAGTTTTACAGACCATCTTCTGCACCACCGAACATCTCATCTAATCCTGATCGGCTTTGACTTCAGGGTCAAGATGGCGCCAAAGGAGAGAGAGGAGAGGACGGTGAAGCAGGAGAGTCGGTGAGTAAAACGATGCAACAGGAACATCAAACACGGTTTGTCCCCTAAATCTCATGGATCCATTTCCTGTTACAGGGTTCTCCAGGACCTCCCGGTGAGAACGGACCACCTGGTCCTCCAGGAAAAAGGGTAAAGTTTGATAGCCCAGATGGATGGATCCGCCTATCGCTTTTAAATAAGCATCCGATAGATAAATTATTCCTAAACTATTTTATTCATCAGGGACCTGCTGGGACCAGAGGACCGGAGGGCCGACAAGGAGAGAAGGGAACCAAAGTGAGTCGTTTTTACAGATGATCAACATGCAGATTTAAACACTAGAAAACCCTTAACTCATTCGCTGCCAGCGTTTCTCACAGGACTTTGCGCGCTAGGATGATGTCAACGCCAAAGCTACCAAAACAAAGCGGAGAGTCGCCTCTTACATCAGGAAGAATCCGCGCGTTTCGAGCGTTATCCGTTCTTTCATGATCCGTTGTTGAATTGTGATCGGCAGAAGCTTTTCCGGTTCGTGCCTCACTTTTTTTTACAGCAGCGGCCCAAAACGATCTAACGCATGGATGTTCTGCTTCCTGATCACGTGACGTGTGACGTACGCGGATGAAGATCGGCTTTAGAGCTGAGATGTTTGTTCTCACGGAGCGGGGGCTCATCCGACGCCCACACAGTAAAAACATGCAGTGAATGAGTTAAAGAGGATGTCTCCTGATCCCGTTAAGTAAATCATTTCCATCCATAAAAATAGTAATTTTACATTTACAAAAGTAAAGCTGGGAATTATGAGCTTTGTTTAAACAGCTTCATTGTTCTAAGCTTCAGTCAAATTAATAAATTACATTAATTTTGTGATTATTACTCAAACTCTTAACATGTCAAAATAAAAATATACATTTCAGCACATTTAGATTCAGATCAGCCTCCAAAGCAGTGATGGCCATTTCTGCTCCTGGAGGTCTGCTAACCAGCGTGTTTCAGGTGTTTCCCTGCTGACTAAAATCAGATGTTGGAGCAGAGAAACAACTAAAACATGCTGGGTAGCGGAGGACCTGGATTACAACATAAAACGCACTTTAAGCCTACAGAGTTTCTCATGCAGAAGTAGAAAATTAACACACTGATGGTTCTCGTCACCTTTAGGGGGATCCAGGTGCCGTCGGGCCCCCAGGGAAGACCGGCCCTGTTGGTCCTCAGGGTCAGCCGGGAAAACCGGGAACAGAAGGTCTCAGAGGACTTCCAGGATCAGTGGTGGGTTTTCCTGGGAATCAGAATCGGCAGCGTTTGCATTTAGTTAGAATCCAGCAGCTGATCCTGTTTGATGTTTCAGGGAGAGCAAGGATCTCCAGGATCTGCTGGACAGACGGGCCCACCTGGACTTATCGTAAGTCAATGACATCATCACTATTCACTAAAGCTGGTTGGTTAAATATGAGTTTACCTTTTCCTCACCTCCTCCTCTGATGTGCTGCAGGGACCTCCCGGTCTACCTGGCCTGCGTGGAGATCCTGGTGCAAAGGGTGAGAAGGGTCACCAGGGTCTCATCGGTCTGATCGGACCTTCAGGAGAGCAGGGAGAGAAAGGAGACCGGGGCATGCCTGGGCCTCATGGATCCACCGGACCTAAAGGAGAACCTGTGAGTTAACGTCATGAGCAGCAGCTCCACGCCTGTTATCATTTATTATAAAACGTGTCTCCCTACAGGGGATGGCTGGAGGTACTGGACCTCTGGGTCCTGCTGGTCCTCCTGGGCTTCCTGTGAGTTTTTTACCATCTTATTCAGATCTTCTTGTCATTGTTGGAAAACTGACGTCTGCTCTGTTTTTCAGGGTCCGCAAGGTGTCAAAGGAGCAAAGGGCTCCAGTGTGAGTTGGTGTTTGCACGGCTTTAGTTGAGGCGTGTTAACAAAATGTTTAAATGGCTGATTCTAAAATCTTTCTGCTTTAGGGAGGAGCAGGTCCAAAGGGAGAGAAGGGTGTGCAAGGACCTCCTGGGCCTCCTGTAAGTTTAATACTTGTTTAAATACTTCATAAAAACCGGAGTTAAATTAGATTCTTCTGTGCCAGGGTCCCCCAGGCGAGGCCATTCAGCCTCTGCCCATTCTGAGGAGTCCCAAGACTAAACGCTCCATCGATGCCAGCCAGCTGCTGCCTGAGTTTGACCCCGACGCGCCAGCCTCCGACACCGCTGGTACGGAGTTCCTGATGGGCAGTGAAGGCATGGAGGAGATCTTCGGATCCCTGAACTCGCTAAGGCAGGAGATCGAGACGATGCGTTTCCCTCTGGGGACTCGGGACAGTCCGGCTCGCACCTGCCAGGACCTGCAGCTCAGCCAGCCGGACCTCCAGGATGGTGAGAGGATCACATGCTGCTTATTCGGGTTGTTTTCGGTGTCCTTTAGAGTAAAAGCCACCAACACCACCAGAGCTTCTGTAACTTCTCACCTTTCTGCAGGAGAGTACTGGATTGACCCAAACCAAGGCTGCTCCAGAGACTCCTTCAAGGTCTTCTGTAATTTCACTAAAGGAGAGACGTGTCTGTACCCCAGAGACGTCGACACGGTCAGTCAGACCTAAATCATCATAGAAACATCAAACTAAACTGGTTTAACTGATGCCACGGGAACCTTTCTGACTGCAGGTGAAGATGAGCTCCTGGGACAAAGAGACTCCAGGGTCGTGGTACAGTCAGTTCACCACTGGTAGCAAGGTCAGTAACACTCGGAGAGGTTAAAAATGGCAGCCGCCATGACCTTCACTCGTTTACTTTCTGATCTCAGTTCTCCTACGTGGATTTGAACGGCGAGCCCGTGGGCGTGGTCCAGCTGGGCTTCCTGCGCCTCCTGAGCGTACAGGCCCGTCAGAACCTTACCTACCACTGCCACCGCTCCGTGGCCTGGGCCGACCGAAGCGCCAAGAACAACCACAAGAGGGCGCTGCACTTCAGAGGCGCCAACGAGGAAGAGCTGAGCTACGAGACCAACCCTTACATCAAAGCCTTGGTGGACGGCTGCTCCGTGAGTTCACAGCTGATTCTGAGTGTGTGTTCTGGGCGGGTTACCTGGAAATCTGACGCGTGTCCCCGTCTCTCTCCACAGTACCGGAAAGGCTTCGACAGGACGGTCCTGGAGATCAACACGCCTCAGGTGGAGCACCTCCCTCTGCTGGACATCAAGGTGTCAGACTTTGGGGAGAGCAACCAGCAGTTTGGGTTTGAAGTTGGACCTGTCTGTTTCCAAGGCTGAACACTCTCTCTCTCTCTCTCTCACACACACACACACACACACACACACACACACACACACACACACACACACACACACACACACACACACACACACACACACACACACACACACACACACACACGATAAACATACAGGCCCAGTAATTTGTAAATTAACTTGTAAATGATATAAACACACACACACACTCGCCTACGTGCCTCTGGAGCCCTCCCAGCAAAACATGGACCAAAGAGAGGAAACATCGACTGGGAGGAAAATAAACAGGAAGAACGACGTTCCTGGGAATCAAACAAAGTGTTCTTCAACGGGCCTGGACCCAGGCTTACTCCTCCCTGCTGACACCTTCATCCACTTCCTGCTCCACCTCCCCTCCTCTTTAAGAAAAGGTCCACGATCAGACGTTATCCTACTTCTGTAATTCCCACATGCAGCAACAGGACCAACAGTTTCACACCCGAATCTATTCTTCTAAAGCCAGATTTGTCCTAATCTAAGCATCGGTTACGTCACATCCTGTCACTTCTAATAAAGCAAGCAGGGAACGGACCACATGCCACCAGCAGGCTCTGATCGGAATCGTCTTTCTGCTCTAAAAGCTTTATTATCTAACATTGTGCCTCAGAGCTCAAACGGATCATTAGAATATATATATGTGGTGCTTTTTAAAGGTTAGTGAGACCAGAGAGACGGTGAAGCGAGACTTAAAGCCATCACGTACCTGAGTGGCCTCCAGACACCACTTCAGTATTCCGGTGCTGATCCAGACCCGGTGTTTTCTGTTCCTGCAGCAGAGAATAAAAATGCACACGTTACTGAGTGAAACTGTGGAAAAGTGCTAATTCTATAAAATAAAGTCCTCCATTTTAGTCTCTTCTAGGGAAATGTGCATTACATTTGTACAGAAATAGTGATATTCTATTGTATTTATTTAAAACCAACTGGGTGCTTTGAGATTAAAATAAGAACCGAGGATTATTTCTAGCAGACGTGACTTTCAGTTGTATTTATTTGATGCAGCTCGACTGCACAGCTGTGATGCTTCTGTTCACACCTCCACCAACCAAAGAATCTGGCCGTGACTAAAACTGTAATCCCTCCCTTATCTAGTTTCATCTGTACTGTGCTGTTTCCACTGCCATGATTAAACGGTGACTCCACTTTTCACATTCCTGTTTTCTTGCTGCAGTTTGACTCAACAGGTTTGTTCCTGTGTTTAGTGAAACCGAACTACATTTATTAAATAAAATCTTAATTATTTTAATATTTAGAGAGGAGTGAGGGTGAGAGAAGGGCAGTGACACGGTGGAGATGAACATCCGTCAGCAGGGACTGAGTGAAAAGTGATTTCTGGTTCTACGGGGCCGTTTTAGTTTTATTTGTTTTAATTTTTTATATAATTAACTGGTGGGACAGTCAGAACATAAAGAATCTGTCCCTTAAAGAAAATGACCTCAACTATTTGTTTTCATTGTGTTGAAGACATTTCAACACAAACATGGTGCTGAAGAAAAAAGTATTTTACGTCTGTAAGTAATTTTAAAATCGTGTTTCTGTAATACATCATCTTTTTAAAAAGAGCTGCTTGACTCTTGTTTTTATTAACACTTAATGTGGAAGTGATAAAATTTTAAGTGTTGCTATTTGAGTTTATCAAAACTTCTGACTAAATTTGGGTCAATTTAAGAAAATGTACTTTAAAGAATTTGTAATGTGTAATTTCCATGAGCCTAGTGTTAGACTCACATCACACAGAAGCTAGCTTTAGCTTTTTCCTCGACATTAGTTTCTACCCGGCGCCATCTGGTGGACATCCGCGGCACTGCTCCTCGTTTCAATTTGTCGGAGCTGATAAATAAAAAAAATTATAAAAACAGTGGAAAACGATCAAATATATTTCTGTTAATCTTTAAGATGTAAATACATATGGTAGTTTACATATTTTACAATTAGCGATTTCAAAACTTAATAAAAACCAAAAGTTTTTTGAACACAACAAAAAAAACTAATATTTTTCTACTTGGTTTTTTTAGACCTTGTTGATTACTTTCGCTGTTTTTTCCGTAATTGGACTCGATATTAAACAATGAAACAAGCTGTTTAAATAAAGTAGTTAAATATAAACTAACCGGTGACCAGAGTCAGCCTGGCGGTAGCCGCCATGACAGTTTTTTGTTGTTTATGTAATATTCAGTTGTCCGCTAGAGGGCGTCTGTTACCTTTACGACAATTTTTTATTGTTTATTTTTTACTTTAATGTTTATAGTTTACTAGTTTTAAGTTACCCAAACAAGTCTTAAATCACGAGCCTAGAGTGTTAAACTCACCTTCATCACACAGAAGCTAGCTTTAGCTTTTTCCTCGACATTAGTTTCTACTGCTCTTCATTGTCCTGAAGGGATTTTTATGTCTCCACTGGCTGAAAGGGTCTGCTTACCTTTACTAGACGGTGAAAAGGCGCCATCTGGTGGACATCCAGCGGCACTGCTCCTCCTCGTTTCAATTTGTTGGAGCTGATAAATAAATAAATAAATAAATTGTAAAAACAGTGGAAAACGATCAAATATATTTCTGTTAATCTTTAAGATGTAAATACATATGGTAGTTTACATATTTTACAATTAGCGATTTCAAAACGTAATAAAAACCAAAAGCTTTTTGAACACAACAAATAAACTAATATTTTTCTACTTGTTTTTTTTAGACCTTGTTGATTACTTTCGCTGTTTTTTCCGTAATTGGACTCGATATTAAACCATGAAACAAGCTGTTTAAATAAAGTAGTTAAATATAAACTAACCGGTGACCAGTCAGCCTGGCGGTAGCCGCCATGACAGTTTTTTTGTTGTTTATGTAATATTCAGTTGTCCGCTAGAGGGCGTCTGTTACCTTTACGACCATTTTTTATTGTTTATTTTTTACTTTAATGTTTATAGTTTACTAGTTTTAAGTTACCCAAACAAGTCTTAAATCACGAGCCTAGAGTGTTAAACTCACCTTCATCACACAGAAGCTAGCTTTAGCTTTTTCCTCGACATTAGTTTCTACTGCTCTTCATTGTCCTGAAGGGATTTTTATGTCTCCACTGGCTGAAAGGGTCTGCTTACCTTTACTAGACGGTGAAAAGGCGCCATCTGGTGGACATCCAGCGGCACTGCTCCTCCTCGTTTCAATTTGTTGGAGCTGATAAATAAATAAATAAATAAATTGTAAAAACAGTGGAAAACGATCAAATATATTTCTGTTAATCTTTAAGATGTAAATACATATGGTAGTTTACATATTTTACAATTAGCGATTTCAAAACGTAATAAAAACCAAAAGCTTTTTGAACACAACAAATAAACTAATATTTTTCTACTTGTTTTTTTTAGACCTTGTTGATTACTTTCGCTGTTTTTTCCGTAATTGGACTCGATATTAAACCATGAAACAAGCTGTTTAAATAAAGTAGTTAAATATAAACTAACCGGTGACCAGTCAGCCTGGAGGTAGCCGCCATGACAGTTTTTTTGTTGTTTATGTAATATTCAGTTGTCCGCTAGAGGGCGTCTGTTACCTTTACGACCATTTTTTATTGTTTATATTTTACTTTAATGTTTATAGTTTACTAGTTTTAAGTTACCCAAACAAGTCTTAAATCACGAGCCTAGAGTGTTAGACTCATCTTCGTCACACAGAAGCTAGCTTTAGCTTTTTCCTCGACATTAGTTTCTACTGCTCTTCATTGTCCTGAAGGGATTTTTATGTCTCCACTGGCTGAAAGGGTCTGCTTTTCTTTACTAGACGGTGAAAAGGCGCCATCTGGTGGACATTCAGCGGCACAGCTCCTTGTTTCAATTTGTTGGAGCTGATAAAAAAAAATTGTAAAAACAGTGGAAAACGATCAAATATATTTCTGTTAATCTTTAAGATGTAAATACATATGGTAGTTTACATATTTTACAATTAGCGATTTCAAAACTTAATAAAAACCAAAAGCTTTTTGAACACAACAAATAAATATTTTTCTACTTGTTTTTTTTAGACCTTGCTGATTACTTTCGCTGTTCTTTCCGTAATTGGACTCGATATTAAACCAGGAAACAAGCTGTTTAAATATAGTTAAATATAAACTTTTTTTTAAACAAGTTTTATTTAACCAATGAAGCTTACAGGCTTACATAAGAATCAGTATTTACAGTTGAATTCTGAGCATGACAAAAAAAAAAAAAAAAAGCAGGTGTACAAACAGAAACAATAATATTAACCTAGCTCAATATCAACCTGCAGAAATCATAACCAAAAAAAATTATATATTACATCAAATAACATTAGGGTTAAAGGAAACATTCACCAAATTGTTATAGAGCCAAATGGCTTTCTTGGAACTACATAATTTAAGAGAATCCATAAAGTATGCAAGTTCTTTCAAAACAACAATAAAGATCGGTTTGATATTGCCAAATTTACATTTGTGTATTAAGAATTTAGCGAAAATAATCAAATCATTGACAGTGAATTGCTGCATTTTATTTTCCAAAATAATACCATACTTGATGTCAGAAAAAGATAAGGAGCGTATAATGAAATTGTTATGCGTTAACCACGAGTGAAAACTATCCCAGAAACATTTGGTAAAGATGCATGTGAAGAATAAATGTATCTCAGTTTCTATATTAGAAGTGCAAAAGGCACAGTCGTTCTCTCCAATATTAAATTTAGACTGCAAGAAATCTTTGCAAGGATAAATACTGTTTATAGTTTTAAAATGAACTTCCTTGGCTTTAGGAGGGATTGAGAATTTGAGATAGTTGCATCTAATGTTTTTAACATCAGAATTACTAAATTGACGTACTAATTCCTGTCTTCTAAGAGGTAAGGGAAAGAGGACGTCAGTGAGCCAACATCTAAGGATTTTATTATTGCAGTTCCTGTCCACAAAAGAACAGTTCTTAATTGTTAAAGGAGGCATTATTGGAATAAGGCGAGAGTACAACAAAGTGCCTTTCAAATTAGCATATATAGCTGGTGGGATTGCCTTGATTACCTCGGCATATTGCTTAGAAGAACAAGTTAGGTTAAATTTGCGATTGAAAGCCGTAAAATTAAGAAATTCTCCATTCTGGTCCATCAAATGCAAAATGGACCATACTCCATGGAGATGTCAATCATTAAAAAAAAAAGATTTCCTTTTAATCAGGATATAACGGTTGTTCCATATTGGCGTGTTGTGCGGTGTGAAGTTATGTGTATACATTAATTTCCAATATTGTAGAACTTGCTCGTGAAATTTGGATAACTTAATAGGGAGTTTGGATAATTCAAAGTCACACTGAAGAAGCAATTGGATTCCGCCTACACTGGAGAAAATTTTAGCAGGAAGATTAAACCACAACATATTTATATTCTTTATAAAATTTTGTAGCCATTTTAACTTAAGTGCACCATTCATTATATCAAAATCGATTGCATTGAGACCCCCTTCCGCTATTGATTTGATGATGTCATTCCTTCTTATATAATGATGTCTGTTTTTCCATATAAAGTTAAAATTGTTTTGGTTAATTTCTTTAATAATATTTTGAGGAATTCTTAGAGAATAAGCCGGATAGATAATTCTTGACAATCCTTCCATCTTGGATAGAAGTAATCTACCAAAAATTGAGAGATCTCTTTGTAGCCATATGTTTAAAATACTTTTACTCTTTTTAATTAAGCTCTCAAAATTACATTTTTCTCTCGTTTCTAAGTTTTTTGAGATTGTAATGCCCAAATACTTGACTTGATCTTTAACAGGTATGCCATGCAGAGTTGTTTGAGGATGATCATGAATGGCCATTAATTCACATTTATCTATGTTTAAATAAAGGTCTGAGGCTTCTGAAAAACAACTAACTACTTGTAAAGCAATTGGGATCTGTTCCTTATTTTTAAGGAAGAGCGTAGTATCGTCTGCCAGTTGAATTATAGCTAACGAATTACCAAAAACATCTAATTTCTCTATCTGACTATTCTTAATCATGATGCTGAGAATTTCCACGACCATGATAAAAAGAAGAGGGGAGGCTGGACACCCGTCGGATGCCTCTTTCAATGTTAAAACGTTTGCAGGTTCCAGATGGCAACAGTACAGTACTATTAATATCCCTGTATAAGGTTTGAACAATTTCACACAACTTTGTT